AGCCTTGTCTCTCAATGAACGTAAGAGAAAATAGAATTCTTTTGTACTCAAATGTTTTTGTCAGTGAGAGCCACAGCTTTTATTTGAAGACCAAACAGTACCAGTGGCTTATGCTGGCCATGTCTAAGAGTATATGGATGTATATGGTTGATTTTCTATCAATAGCTGTGCCTCTCAATGGTAGAAAGAGAAAAAAAATTCTATTTAGTCTCATATTCATTGATAGACACAGCTTTTGATTGGAGATCAGTCAATACCAGTGAATTACGCTGCCCATTTCTAGGAGTAATGTTGGAATACAGTCGACAACTTTATTTTATGTGACCACTACATCAGTATTCAATAGAGATATATTCTTCAACCAGTAGATGGCGGTGTTTATAGGTCTTTAGCTGTATCTACGTTTTTTCACTGATTAACTGATTAAAAGTTCCTGTTTCCTGGTTGCAGTGAAGCACATGTGCACTGTCTGTTTTGTAGGACTATGTACAGAATTTCTAAAAATTAGGCACTATACCCAACAGGTACATGGTTGATCATCTATCAACAACTGTGTCTCTCAATGAACCAAAGAGATACAATGGTCTGTAACATACCCTAAGCAGAGATATATTCTTCAACCAGTAGATGGCGGTGTTTATAGGTCTGTAGCTGCATCTATGATAGAACTCTATGTCTTTTCACTGAATAAAGGTACCTGTTTCATGGTTGCAGTGAAGCACATGTGCACTGTCTGTTTTGTAGGACTATGTACAGAATTTCTAAAAATTAAGCACTATACACAACAGGTACATGGTTGATCATCTATCAACAACTGTGTCTCTCAATGAACCAAAGAGAAACAATGGTCTGTAACATACCATAAGTTATCCTGAAGGTGTAAAAAAAGAAAGCCAGTGATGAAAGAAAATGCTAGCTGCCTGGCTACCATGCTAGTCCAGTGGCATCAAAACTTTCTGCATCACTGACGCACATACATACATTGTTTCAAGTCCGTGAATCCCAGGGAACTGCAGCTGAATACAGCCAGGCAATGAGCATTTTCAGAAGCAGATTAGCAATGGCAGGCTCGATGTTTCCCTCAACACACATTCCCTTTAACCCATTTTTGTGATGAGTTTCTATCAGTTAACATGACACTGCCTATCACTTCCTCCCCCGCCATGCGGCAGAGTGGTTCTCGCCCTCAAAGCTGGGCTGGCACAATTCCCTCTATCCTCCAAGCTGGTGCATGGAATCTGTGCATTGGTTTGCAGAGAAAATGTTTATTTTTGGAGAGGCAGTTGTCTTGGTGACACACGCGGAGTCGTACGCAATGGCGGCAAGTCCCACGCAAATGGCAAACTGGAATCTTTATGCGAGAATCGGAGTGAATGCCCGACTGCTCTTTTTACATTGAGTTATCAAGCGATATGTCACACGACGGTGCCGCACGCAGGTTTCTATTTACAGTTCCTCTGCGCCGAGAGCTGCTAGTGCTGAGAAAAACAGTTTTTGCTCGTTGTAGGGCTCTGCCTCCCAGAATAAGCCAGAGATGCATAAAAAGTCACCACTGGGAAGAATGCGGTTTCCATGGTGAATTATATATATACACCAACTTCACACAGGCACTTGGGCTCGTCTGAACAGAATTCTCCCAGCTCCTGCATAGTGGTTGGGGTTTTATGTGCCTAGGCTACATTACAGTGTCAGGTGAGCTTCTTAAATAGATGTATTAACCTCTATCCCGCCGCCCTATAGCAGAAATACTGCTACAGGGCAGCAGGGGTGTGCAAAATCACGAATATATACATGATTTTGCATTTATGGGCATGCCCTACCCACACTGCCATTGGAAGCCTCACCTGTCGATCACAGGATCCCAACTGGTGATTCCCCATCGGCACCCGGCGATCACCACGTATCACCGATGGGGGAGAGACCTGTAAGAAAACAATACAGATCTCTCCCCCGTCAACTCTAGCACAATGCTTTGTATGGCTCTGCATAGCACAGCCATACAAAGCAATGTGCTTACAGAGTAAAACATACACAGAGCACAGAGTTAACCCTTTGATCGCCCCAGATGTTAACCCCTTCCTGCCTGGTGATTTCCGAAGATCTCCAACAGGTAGGAGGACTGTTTTGTTTACTAACAGTTCTCCCTGTCAGCTCGGGCACACTGCTCTGGATGGCTGTGTACAACAGTGTGATTACAGTGAAGCACACAGACACAGCCCCCATAGTGAAACACTCCCTACACACAGTTAACCCTTTGATCGCCCCACATGTTAACCCCTTCCTGCCCAGTGTCATTAGTACAGTGTCAGTGCTTATTATTATCACTGATCACTGTATTAGTGTCACTGGGAATGTCAGTGACAGTTAGTCATTTGCCACCAATGTCAAAATGCCCGTCGCAGTCCCCCTATAAGTTGCTGATCACCGCCATTACTAGTATATAAAAAAAAATATTTCAGTATCTATACCGACATTTGTAGACGCTATAACTTTTTCGGCCCGGTGATTTCTGAAGATCTCCAATGGGGAGCACTGATCACTGTATTTGTGTCACAGGGGATGTCAGTTCCCCCCAGTCTCAGAATGTCTGCCACAGTCCTGCAGTCCCGATATAAGTCGCTGATCGCCGCCATTATTAGTAAAAATTAAAAAAAAAAATCCCAGCATATATACCGCCATTTGTAAAAGCTATAACTTTAACGTAAACCAATTAATTTACACATATTGGGATTTTGTTTAGCAAATGCAAGTCACAGAATACATTTTGTCCTAAATTTATGACAAATTTTGATTTTTAAATTTTTTTTACTAGATATGTTTTCTAGCAAAAAGTCACAAATATTTTTTTTTTCAAAATCGTTGGTCTTTTTTTGTTTATAGCAAAAAAAAAAAAACCTAGAGGTGATCAAATACCACCAAAAGAAAGCTCCATTTGTGGAAAAAAAGGACGTAAATTGCATTTGGGTGCAGTGTTGCATGACCGTGCAATTGTTAGTTAAAGTAATGCAGCGCCGTATCGCAATAAATGGCCTGGGTAGGAAGGGGGGGGGTAAATCCTTTGGAGGGCAAGTGGGTAAAAATCAGCCCTTAAGTTTAATTAAAAAAAAAGCAATCCCTTAAAGTGAACCAAACCCTCTTATCCTATGGCGATAGAAGCCGCCATCTTAGCATCTGTTTGATCTGCAGTTGCCATGAAGCTGCACATGTGATCAGTTATGACGCCAAACATTTCATGGCTGGACAGCTCACTTGAGAGCACAGGCAACTGTGACAGTTGTCATTCACTGCATTTCTTGATTGTAAAAATTGTTGAATCGATGGGTTTAGTTCCACTTTGATTTCCAACTCATATTTGTAGGCTGTGTATGGCTTCTTACCTGCAAAAAACACACAGGAGGGTGCAAACCCCTTGTGTATTACCGTAAATAAATGTATTAAATCCGAAGAGACAAATGGATAGTCACAGACTGATAAAAACAACAAGCATGTAACTGTTGTACTTCAGCTGAATGCGGTGTAACCTGTTCCATTACCAGACGGTTGGAAGGTTGACGCGTTTCGGGGGGACTGGTCCCCTTCCTCAGAGCTAAACCAACCTGATGCTCACTAGCCACTTAAATAGGCCCAGATCAATGGGGCACTCCTGCTAGGGGCCACTGGAAGGAGCCTAGGCCAGTACAGTGGGTCACCCAGCTACCTACCCAAATAATTGCAGATAGCCTTTGACTATAAAAACCATTCCATTCCACACCATGTAAAAACAATAAAAGTAGTAATAATTAGAAGAAGAATATACAAGTATTAATAACATGACAACCAAGCAAAACCACTAACCACGTGTGGCCATGCACCCAAGCTCCAGCTTCTAATTACGTAGGGCGTGGTGTGATGTGCGTTTCAACATATCACAGCACTCCCTGTTTTTTTTTCTGTACAAACTTTATTTGAAGTGTAAAAAAGTGACACTTGATTGATGCCGCTGTTTAGTAGTACAGTGATGCGCAATACTGCCTGTAACGCTGCGATAAAATGCAGCATGTCAGAATTTAATCGTAGCTCATTGCACCAAATCTCCGAAGCACATTTCAATGTGAATAGGGCACACAGAAAACAATTGTTTTCTGTGTGTTCTAGCAGTGACCTGTGTTCATCCAGTGAGAAAAAAACACACTGTGTGAATTGGCCCTTTATCCCTGCACCCCTAAATTGGCATGAAACCCTTGCAATGTGGGGAGGGGGGGTGTTGGCTGCACTACATTTTTTTAAGGTCTCTTTCAGCCGGGCAGTCAGGGGGTGGATAGTAAAAACGGGCCTGTGATTTTACCACCCCGTGGCCGACCCAGCCGAACAGAACTGTAAGATAATGGGGCTGTACACATGCCGCGGTTGTGAAGCAAAGCATCATAGCCACAGAATGTTTAAATCAGGGGTGCAGAGTTTGACAAGCGTCATCCACTTGTCAAACTCGCCCATCGAGTTCAATGGGGCTGCCCCGCAACCGCATCCAGTACATGTGTGGTAGTGCGGTATTCTAGCCACTTGCCCTCCAGAGGATTTACCCCCCTTCCTGACCATTTTTTTTGTGTTACGGCGCTGCGTTACTTTAACTGACAATTGCGCGGTCATGCAATGCTGAACCCAAATTAATTTATGTCCTTTTTTTCCCACAAATTGAGCTTTATTTTGGTGGTATTTGATCGCCTCTTTTTTTTTTTTTTTATCATTTTTGCACTATAAAAAAAAGACCGACAATTTTGAAAAAAAAAAAACCCAATATTTTTGACTTTTTGCTATTAAACATGTCCAGCAAAAAAATTAAAAAAATCAAATTTTGGCATAAATTTAGGCCAAAATGTATTCTGCTCCGTGTCTTTGCTAAAAAAAAAATCCCAATACGTGCAAATGAATTGGTTTACGTGAAAGTTATAGCATCTACAAATGGCGATATATATACTGGGATTTGTTTTTTATTTTTACTAGTAATGGCAGCAATCTGCGACTTATAGTGGGACTGCGACAGGTATTCTGACACTGGGGGGGAACTGACTTGGTGTCACTGACATCCCCAGGGACACCAATACAGTGATCAGTGTGAATAAAAAGCACTGACACTGTACTGATCGCAATGGGCGGGAAGAGGATAACATCTAGGGCGATCAAAGGGTTAACTGTGTGCCGTTTTACTGCTTGTGCTGTGTCTTGGTTTACGAGAAAGTTATAGTGTTTACAAATGGCGGTATAGATACTGAAATATTTTTTTTTTTATATTAGTAATGGCGGCGATCAGCGACTTATAGCTTGAGTGCGGCGGGCATTCTGACACTGGGGGGGAACTGACTAACTGTCGCTGACTTCCCCAGTGACACTAATACAGTGATCAGTGCTAATAAAAAGCACTGACACTGTACTAATGGCACTGGGCAGGAAGGGGTTAACATGTGGGGTGATCAAAGGGTTAACTGTGTGCTGTGTGTGCCTTACACTGTAAGCACACTGCTTTGTATTGCTGTACTATGCAGAGCCATACAAAGCAGTGTGCAGGAGCTGACAGGGGAGAGATCTGTATTGTTTACATACAGTTCTCTCCCTCCGTTGGTAATGTGCCTCGATCACCGGGTGCTAATGAGTAATCACCGGCCGGGACCCGGTGATTGACAACTGAGGCTGCGAATAACGGCGCAGATCACGCGCGTCCCCTACCCGGAAATGTAAAATCACGTATATATACTTGATTTTGCGCACCCCTTCCTCCGTGTAGCAGTATATCTGCTATAGGGCAGCAGGAAAGCGGTTAGATCTAAATCAGGCAGTGAGGAAGTAATATAATTCCTCCTTACTGCCTGTCAAATGCCCTCTGAAAAGCAATCCAAACGCAGACACCACCTTGGAGGGCACCGCTCTCCACCGTGAGTGTGATAGAGTCGTAATTCCTGAGTTCAGCTTTACATATCACATTTTCATGTCTGACTGGAGTGTACTTTTAACAGTCAGTGTGGCGGCATATTCCGGATTCTAATTGTCAGGGTAAGGCATTACAGCAATCTGCTATGATCTGGGGACATGTAGGCGCTGGATGTTAACTAGTGCTGATGTAAGACTTGTTTACGATGCCAGCGCCGGGACTGATACATTTTATCACACTGCCAACCGTACATTGATCAGCCGGGACACATGTATTCTGAGAAATCAGAACCCCCCCCTCCACCCCATACATGTAAGATGGGAGGAACCCGGGCTGCTGACACTGATATGGAAAATGTATCCTCAATAAACCAAAATCCGATTATCATTCCCCGAGAAGGAAGGAAATTGGAATATCATTTGTCACTTATAATGGACCAAATGTTTCTCTGTTCTGCTAAACGTCAAAATCTTAACCAGTTAAAAAGGTGTGCGTTGTCACGTTTATTTAACCACTTGCTGCCCAAGGCAATTGTTAAAAATGTTCCACACATGTTAAAATCAGCATTTTATTAATTAAAAACCCCCCAAACCTTAGATATTTTCTGAAAGCAGAGGCCCTGGAGAATAAAATGGTCGCAGTTGCAATTTTTTTACATCGCATGATATTTGCGCAGCTGCTTATCAAACTCATTATTAAAATACACTGGAATTAATTTTAGTGTACACACACACAGTGTAATACCCAATTTTAGGTCAAATGTAAAAGGTGGGGTTGTGTCAAGTAAACAGATACCAAACATGTCAAGACTCAAAACTGCGTGTGCCTGTGAAAGGCGACAAACTATGGTAATGGTACCTAAAATCTTTCACAGGAGATGCTATAAAAGCCTTTATAGTTTATCTGTTTAGAGTTAACTATGAATTAACTAGCGTTAAAGTGTTACTAAACCCCGGACCCTGCATTCACTATATCCGCTCTCCCCGGACCCTGCATTCACTATATCCGCTCAGGACCCCCACTATATCTGGGACCCTGCATTCACTATATCCGCTCTCTCAGGATCCGCTCACTATATCTGGTCTCCCAGACCCTGCATTCACTATATCTGCTCTCCCAGGACCCTGCATTCACTATATCTGGTCGCCCCGGACCCTGCATTCACTATATCGCTCCCGGACCCTGCATTCACTATATCTGGTCTCCCAGGACCCTGCATTCACTATATCTGGTCTCCCCGGACCCTGCATTCACTATATCCGCTCTCCCCGGACCCTGCATTCACTATATCCTGTCTCCCCAGACCCTGCATTCACTATATCCGCTCTCCCAGGACCCTGCATTCACTATATCTGGTTGCCCCGGACCCTGCATTCACTATATCCGCTCTCTCAGGACCCTGCATTCACTATATCTGGTCTCCCCAGACCCTGCATTCACTATATCTGCTCTCCCAGGACCCTGCATTCACTATATCTGGTCGCCCCGGACCCTGCATTCACTATATCCGCTCTCCCTAGACCCTGCATTCACTATATCCGGTCTCCCCAGACCCTGCATTCACTATATAACCGCTTTCCGCTCTCGGACCCTGCATTCACTATATCCGCTCTCCTCGGACCCTGCATTCACTATATCTGCTCTCCCCAGACCCAGCATCCACTATATCCGCTCTCCCTGGACCCTGCATTCACTATATCTGGTCTCCCAGGACCCTGCATTCACTATATCCGCTCTCCCTTGACCCTGCGTCCACTATATCTGGTCTCCCAGGACACTGCATTCACTATATCCGGTCTCCTCGGACCCTGCATTCACTATATCTGGTCTCCCAGGACCCTGCATTCACTATATCCGTTCTCCCCGGACCCCGCATTCACTATATCCGATCTCCCCGGACCCTGCATTCACTATATCGGTCTCCCCCAGTACACAGAACATGGAATTGCAATTACTTTAGTAAATTTAAACTGATAAATACCTTTTCTCATCAGCAGTATATAGTGGTCTTGTGACTTCTATCAGTGTCTAGCTGAGCACTGGTTAAAGCTTGTAGTAGGAGTTTTCCTTCTCCTCTCACTGTCCTATGAGGCTGCATGACCCCCTGTGTGGACAGTGCTGATTGGCACTGTGACAGTGCTGATTGACCTGTGCCGATCACATGCATCCTCCCTAAGAAGAAAAAATCACCAACAACACACACCAAACTAAGTATGTGCAGAGTGACATGTTTGTTTTTTTTTTTTGTGTTTTTAATTACAACCTTTAGAATCACTTTAACCACCTCCTGCCCGCCATATAGTCCAATGACGGGCGCAAGGTGGTTCTCTCGTTCTGAGAGGACGTCATATGACGTCTTCCCATTCTCAGCGCGCATGCGTGGCTCAGGGAGCGCGCAGCGCGGCGATCGGCGGTGCGCTGTGTCCCTCGGACACAGCGGATCACCAATCACGGAAAGAGCTGAAGATGTCGGCTCAGTCATGTGATCAGCTGTGTCCAATCACAGCTGATCACATATTAACAGGGAAATGCCGGTTATCGGCATTTCTCTCCTCTTGAGCTGTCACGCTGACAGCTCGAGAGGAGAGGAGAGCCGGTAATCGGCTTTCCGTGGAGGGGACATTTACACTGATCATCAGGGCACTGATGACCAGTGTGCCCTGATGATCAGTGTAGCCCCAGCAGTGCCACCTGTCAAAGTCCATCAGTGCCAGCTGTCAGTGGCGATCAGTGCCACGTGCCAGTGCCTTTCAGTGCCACATCAATGTCACATAACAGTGCATACCAGTGCACATCAATGCCACATATCAGTGCCCACCCGAGCTGCCAGTCAGTGGCACCTATCAATGCCATTCAGTGCCACCTATCAGTGCTGCCAATCAGTGTCACCTATCAGTGCCAGTCAGTACCGCCTAGCAGTGCCTGTCAGCGCCGCCTATCAGTGTGCATCAGTGCCACCTATCAGTGTCAATCAGTGCCACCTAACAGTGCCAGTCAGTGCCGCCTAACAGTGCCAGTCAGTGCCGCCTAACTGCCATATACCAGTGCCATGTATCAGTGCTGCCTTTCAGTGCCCATCAGTGATGCCTGTTAATGCCCATCAGTGCCACCTACCAGTGCCTCCTCATCAGTGCCCATCAGTGCCACCTATCAGTGTCCATCAGTGCAGCCTATCAGTGCCCATCTCTGCAGCCTCATTAGCGCACATCAGTGAAGGAGAAAAATCACTTATTTACAAAATTTTATAACAAAAACTAAGAAAAAACTTTTTTTTTTTTCAAAATTTTCAGTGGTTTTTGGTTTGTTTAAGAAAAATAAAAAACCCAGAGGTGATTAAATACCACCAAAAGAAAGCTCTATCTGTCTCAAAAAAATGCTAAACATTTCATATGGGTACAGTGTTGCATGACCGCGCAATTGTCAATCAAAATGCAACAGCGCTGAAAGCTGGAAATTGGCCTGTGCAGGAAAGGGGTATAACTGCCCTGTAGGCTAGCGGTTAAACAGACCACTGTAAAAGCAGAGAGGACTTCCCACCCTGGTGCCTTATAATTATGTACCATATATCAATGAAATAAAAGCAAATGATATACTTACAACTACAAGTGTATGCTAACTCATCAGTATAACCCAAAACCAACAACTGACCCTCTGTCCAGACAGTGCTGATTGGCCCTGTGCTGAACATATGCACCCCCCCCCCCAAAACAAAAAAAAACTCTAGCAATAGACACCAAACAGAGCATGTGCAGGCTTGCTACTGCTGCTCTGTACTATGGCAGATGGATTGGGGACAGCAGAAGGGGAGGATCAGAGAAGACAGAATCAAACAACTTTTCACACAATGTGGAGGATTAACCCCTTAGGTTCCACAGTGAGTATAACAAGCATGTTTTATTGCATGTACAGACTGATGTTACTGTTGTGGTTTTAGTAACACTTTAACTATGAATTATGACTGTACAATTGTTGCTCTCACTCCGATGTTTGTGGCAATACCTCAGATGTATGGTACAATCACGGTTTACATACACGTGCAGGACCTATGCTTGCATTTGTGTACATGAGCAGGGGGGACAGGAGTGCTTTTATAATTTTTGGTTTTATTATGTATGTTTTTTTTTATTAAAATGTAATCTCTAATAATTTTTAAATTTTTTTTTTTTTTCATTTAAAGTGATTGTGAAGGTCATTTAAAAAAAATAGCAAGCATGTTATACTTACCTGCTCTGTGTAGTGGTTTTGCACAGAGCAGCCCCATCCTTCTCTTCTTGCATCCCGGCCAGTGCTCCTGGCTCCTCCCCCCTTCTCAGTGCTCCCATTGTAAGCTGCTTGCTATGGGGGCACTTGTGAATGTGCACTTCTAAGCCCTACTCTCTGTGTCTATTGACACACAGAGCGCAACTCAGCCCAGATTCTTCCTCACTGGCTGTGAATGACAGCGGTGGGAACCAATGGCTCCTGCTGCTATGTCTGAGCCAGTGAGAAGGGAGAGACCCAGAGATCCGCTGCCCGCGTGCATTGCACTGGATCAGGGTAGGGCTCAGGTAAGTTTTAGGGGGATGGGGGGGGGCTGCTTGAAGAAGGTTTTTCACCCTAATGTATAGAATGCATGAAGGTAAAAAGTAAACCTAGCAGCCTTTACAACCACTTTACCTGTATTGCTATCACAATACTAACTAATAAGCATCTTATGCGATAGCATGATCAGGTGACAAGTCTTCTTTATGGAGTCTTCAAGGGTCTTTTAGGCCCCTTTCACACAGGCGTTCCGTATGTCTGTTTTTCATCTGTCCGTTTACAGATAAAAAATGGACACCCATGTATTTCTATGGACTAGCGGATGTAAACGGATGAACATTTGTTTACACCGGTTAATGTCCGCATTTGTTAATATCATTTTTTTTACTGACGTACACCATATTTTTATTCTGTTAAAAAAACCAGAATGGACAAAAAACGGATGTAAACGGACCAAAAATATGGATAAAAACAGATTTAAACGGACAAAAAACGGATGTAAACAGATGAAAAATTAATGTAAATTGATGGAAAACGGATTAAAAAACATGAAAAATGGATGTAAACTGACAAAAAAATATGGATGAAAACAGATTTAAATGGACAAAAAATGGATGAAAACAGATGTAAACAGATGGAAAAACAGTTGTAAAAAAACTGATGAAAAAATGGGAAAAAAAAAGATGAAAAACGGATGTAAACTGGATGGAAAATGGATGAAAAAAAAACAGATGAAAAACAGATGTAAACTGCTGAGAAATGGATAAAAAAAAACAGATGAAAACCGGATGTAAACTGATGGAAAACGGATATGAAAAACAGATGTAAACAGAATGAAAAACGGATGTAAACTGATGTAAAACGGAAAAAAAAAAAGATGAAAAACAGATGGAAACTGATGGAAAATGAATAAAAAAAAGATGAAAAACAGATGTAAACTGATGAAAAATGGATAAAAAAAAAACAGATGAAAACCGATGAAAACTGATGGAAAACGGATATGAAAAACAGATGTAAACAGATGAAAAATGGATGTAAAACGGATAAAAAAAACAGATGAAAAACGGATGTAAACTGATCAAAAACGGATGTAAACTGAAATAAGCTGATGTAACACTGACATAAACTGATGTGAACTGATGAAAAACTGAAGTAAACTGATGAAAAAAAATGGAACGCCCGTGTGAAAGGACCCTTAGACCCCCAATGTCTCCTCTGCCCTTCAATGCAGCTAATCAAGAACAGATCGTGCTAGATTAGCATCCAGGTTCATTAGCCCATACAGAGGAGAACAGAGAACTAAAGTTCCTTGATCTCCTCTGTATCTAACTATTCCGGTCATTTACCAGGGTTCCGGACCCCAACCACTGGTGGCTGCACATAGGGGAGAGGGGTAGGGTGTTGGTCTGTCTCACTACTGTAAAAGTGATATGGTGGTTATTACCGCCCCCAACTCTCCAGTTCGTTCAATCAGAGAATGTTTTGTTATCATTGAGAAAATTCAAAGCATTCTCTGGATGGCGCTTGCGCTGGGAAGCCGACCTCCTGTGTTCAGAATGCATCAGGTCAGTGGCTCAGTTTCAGACTCGGAAGCAATTGGAGGCCAATGGAGTAGTGGTATCTGCTTCAGTGATTTCCAGCTTCAAGGAGCATTGGCCAGGTATGGTGTATACATAGTTACATTGGTCTAAGCTATATGTATAAAAAATCCATGCCTATGTATAAAAATCCATCCCTGGAGTTCCTCTTTAAGTTGGTTGCAGGGTCTCTTTAAATGTTCTAAAATGTATTCACTATTCAATAAAGCGACAAAACAATCATCACAATGACAATGTGAAAAAGCAGGAAATCCATAGCAGGCTATTAGATAATAGTTTAGCGCAGTGGGATCAGTCAGAGAGCTTTCTGTGGGTTAATGCACTACATTGTTCCCTGCCTTGGTAAATGAATTAAAGAGATCGTTTACCTCCACAGTCAATTCACGAAAGCATAATCCATGTCGGATTTTAATCACTCTGGATGACTTTTTTTTTGATTTTTAAGATCGAAAAATGTGTTTTCAGTTTACTAAAGGTATTGTCACATGGATCAATGACATTACCATAGACTGTACACGTTATAATATCAATCTGTGCTGTAGTTTGTATGTCACAGTCAATTCATAGGGCTCCTCTCCTGGGCTGAAATGGCTTACTCTGATTTCACTGCACACCGTGAGCTGTTTACTGTGTGAGTTAGAAACTACAGTACAGCAAGTCAGACGGAGACAGCCTAATTTCCTGGCTAGATGACATCCAGCATCATCTAGCTCTTTCCTCCCCAACTTTACCGTACCTGGCCAGCCCCCTTCATTCATTGGATTTCAGTTCTTTTAATCATGGAGCTCAGCATCATGTGAGGGTGCTAACCAGGGCCATTTTCCTAGGGACATCCACCCATCAGTGCATTTTGATATTTGCATAACTCTTCCCAAGAGCTCCTCCAACTGCTTGCATTAAGGTTGATGGCTCTTATTTATTTATTTATTTTATTTATCGAGTTTTATATAGCGCCAAAGGGTTTGCTCAGCGCTGTACAATAGAGGGGGACAATACATGAAACAGAACAGTAACATCAAACAGTACACAAGGGGTAAGAGGGCCCTACTCTTTCGAGCTTACAATCTAGGAGGGAGGGGGTAGAGGTACAGGAGGAAATGGCTGTGGGGGGTGGAGTGGTAGGAGGAGGGAAGGGCAGCGGCTGTTAGGTGAGGGTGGGGTAGGCTTCCCTGAAGAGGTGGGTTTTCAGGGAGCGCCTGAAGGTGAGGAGGGAAGGTGACAGTCTGATGGATTGGGGTAGTGAGTTCCAGAGGATGGGGGAGGACCTGGAGAAGTCTTGCAGTCGTGCGTGGGAGGAGGAGACCGGGGAGCAAGATAGAAGGAGGTCCTGTGAAGAGCGAAGGGTACGGGTAGGGTGGTACCTGGGAATCAGGTCGGTGAGGTAGTTAGGGGCAGTATTGTGAATGGCCTTATAGGTCAGGGTGAGCAATTTGAATTTAATGGCTCTTGTGAGAGGATGTTTTCAGGAAGCTATGTACAGCACCTAGCTATCCCCTCCCACTAACCATGATCTGCCTGAATTGCATAGAGAAGCACAGACTCTCAGTGATAGCATCCTTTGCATTTACCAATAACTACATGCAGGGAGGGAGGGGGGGGGGGGGATACCTGAACAATGCCTTTAAATCCAATCAGGCAGGTCCTTGTACTACATAGTATATACATAGACATTGGACAATTATTTTGTAGAGTGTAGCTATCCTATTGACACCAAAACACACAGAGATCATAGCACTGCTCAACACTGACCTCTCTCATACATAGACAATCAGACTCCACTCTCCATTGAAAGTATGACAGAACATCAGCAGCACTCAGCTTAGCTCCTCTTAGCGTATTTTTAAAATAATTTATTGCATACAGCAAAGTCTCCACCCAAGAACCACATTTCCTTGATGCGTTTCACCTCTCCTGGCTTCTGAGCAAGCCAATCTTCTGTAGCACCCTCCTAGTTAGCTAGGGGGAGATAGCTAAATTTTTTTTAGTTAGAAGGCTGAGAAGTTGGGTGATAGTCAGAGGGGTCAAATCGAGTCAAGGCTGAGAGGCTCTGCAGGTCAGTTCTCTGATACCTCCCCCTGATCTAGAGGCTTGGAGAAGTCTCTAGAACTCAGTGGGTGGGGGTGAGGAGGAGGAGCTGGTCTGCATTTTTGAGGGATCCTGGCCAGGCAAGAGGCTTGGCATGGGGTCAGGACAGCCCTTAAGAGTGACTGAACCTGCACAGCAGAAGGGGAGTTCGGGTGGAAGATGGAGTGAGAGGAAACGATGTAGAAACCTGGGAGGGGGCCCAGTGGGAAGGCCTGGACAGGAGGGTGGACTACTTGTGGAGCTAGGAAAGGAGCCAGCCCAGCAGAAGGCCATGAAGGCAGCCACCTACCTAAACCAACTCACAGGAAAGAGTCTGAGTGAGTAATCCTACACCCCTAGGCTAGTTAAGGGGAAAAGTGCACTCTATTGGTCACCTGATTACCTCCTTTCCCAGGATTGTTTATATGAAAGTGGCAGGCACTGGATCCCCTAACCCGAGGATTCCTCCAGACAGCTGGGTAAAGAAGATGATTTATCTGGGCTCTGGGGTGGTACACCAAGAGAGGCTGGAGAGCTCTCCCAGAAAATCTTTGCTGTGTAAAGACTTGTATATAGTTGACAGGAAGTTGTCCTCCGTTTACTGTTCCTTGGCATGACATACACCCCTTACTCCATCCAAGTTCAAAACCTCTGCTAAAACTGAAAAAAACAAGGTCAAGGACTGTTTAATGTCTCTGGAATGCAAGTCTGTGAAAAATGCGTATTGCTCGGCTGTGCAGGACTATAGGGGGACTCAAATATTCAGCAACTTCTAAGGGGGTAGTGCTACACTTCTTTGATGTGTTTCACCACTTCTGGATTTTAAGCAAGTAAACCTTTCCTGATACTTTTTACCACTGCTGGCTTGTAAGCAAGCCAACCTTCCTTGCCGTGTTTCACCACTGCTGGCTTGTAAGCAAGCCAACCTTCCTTGCCGTGTTTCACCACTCCTGGCTTGTGAGCAAGCCAACCTTCCTTGATGCGTTTCACCACTTCTGGCTTTTAAGCAAGCCAACCTTCCTTGCTGCAATTCACCACTTCTGGCTTGTGAGCAAGCCAGCTTTCCTTGACACGTTTCACCACTCCTGGCTTGTGAGCAAGTCAACCCTCCTTGACGTGTTTCACCACTCTTGGCTTCTGAGCAAGCCAATCTTTCTTGACGAGTTTCACCACTTCTGGCTTGTGAGCAAGCCAACCTTCCTCAACACGTTTTTCACCATTTCTGGCTTGTAAGCAAGTCAACCTTCCTTGACATGTTTCATCATTCCTGGCTTGTCAGCAAGCCAACCCTCCTTGATGTGTTTCACAATTCCTGGCTTGTGAGCAAACCAACCTTCCTTGACATGCTTCACCATTTCTGGCTTGTAAGCAAGCCAACCTTCCTTGACACGCTTCACCCACTTCTGGCTTGTAAGCAAGGCAACCTTCCTTGACATGTTTCATCACTCCTGGCTTGTGAGCAAGCCAACCTTCATTGATGCATTTAACCACTCCTGGTTTGTTAACAAACCAACCTTCCTTGATGTGTTTCACCAGTCCTGGCTTGTGAGCAAGCAACCTTTCTTGACCAGTTTCACCACTTCTGGCTTGCGAGCAAGCCAACCTTCCTTGACAGGTTTTACCACCTCTGGCTTGTAAGCAAGCCAACCTTCCTCGACACGTTTCACCACTCTTGGCTTGTGAGCAAATCAACCTTCATTGATGCATTTAACCACTCCTGGTTTGTGAACAAGCCTACCTTCCTTGACATGTTTCACCACTCCTGGCTTGTGAGCAAACCAGGAATGGCGAAATGCACCAAAGAAGGCTGGTTCTTGGCAGAGAAACTCCTGCATGCAGTCAATTCATTGAAAAATACGCTAAGAGGAGCTAAGCAGAGTGTGGTTGATCCTATAGAAGCCATTTGAGAAGGTGGTATAATAATGAGGGATAAAATAAATATACAAATCCTAGTAAGTTTAGCTTGTTAAAGCACCATGTAACATAAACAATTGCCATTCATATTTAATAAGATACTGTTTTCACATTTTTAATCTCTTCTTGTGTCCCAGTGCTGCTGATCTCCTCCAGCCCCTTTCCACCATCTCTTGTCTACATGCACATGCTCTAGGGTTGGCATCACATCATTTCTCAGGACTGGCTTTCTGATAATGGTAACAATAGGCCACTTCTAGTCTACACCAGCTGTGCATGTGATGGGGGAACAATGCAGGAGCACAACTGGGAGACAAATGTGCCTGGACAATGACTTTCATGCCAAGATCAGCAGGTATTCATTTAATAAAAACTGCAGAATTTTAATAGATTGAAAACAACTTTTCAAATGTAATAAACATGTTATTGATTATAGAAGATTTTAGTGATTGGGTTTGGATCTACTTTGAATGCCTTAAAAAAATGACAATTCCACATCGATGTATTAATGGATGTGGACATTTTTAGAAGAAATGTATTGTGTGTTACAATAAGAAGAATGAAAATAACTGAACCTTCTTAGTGAAGGATGATAAGTTTAGTCAGCAAACTGGCTTAGTCATCAACACGTCTGCTTGGAATTACAACCACAACACTAGCTGCATGGAGTTTGCATGTGCCTGTATGGGTTTCCCTTGGGTATTCTGGTTGCTCCCCATACTCCAAAGACAGGCTGGTAGGTCAACTAGCTCCTGTGTAAACTGGCCCTAGTATGTGTATGTATGAGTGTGAGTTAGGGACCTTAGATTGTATGTTTCTCAAGGACAGGGACTGATGTGAATGTATAATTAACATAAATTGGCAACGTTATATAAAAACCTGTAATATATATTTAAAGCAGAACTCCAGCCAAACAAACACAGTGAATACATTATTGCAACAGATATTAAAAAATGGTTATAACCATCAAAAAATGTTTGTGATTCACGCACCCCTGCCACACTGCATAGCCAGAGGGTGGCATCATTCTTCCAAGTTTGCAGATATGACCATTCCTGTGTCCCCTTGACACCAACAGCTTGGTCTCTGGACTAGGAATATGAACTGCCACACCAGTAAAGCATTTCCTGAGCTTTCCTCTCCTGTAACAACTGCTTAGACTCCAGACCCCAGTGCCTAACAGTAGGTGTCATCCGGTGCGATAACACTTGGTGACACCCCCTCCAACAATCCCTGCAGAATGGATCGGATCTGCGGATTGAGGATAATGGATCAGACTCCGATCCATTATGCTCAATCCGCAGATCCGATCCATCCTGCGGGGATCGTTGGCTTGCTGTACAACTTACCTTTTTGTGGAGCGGGTCCGGTGTCACCTCGTATAGGTTGCATGCTGACGATCCCCACAGGATAGATCGGATCTGTGGACTGAGCATAATGGATCGGAGTCCGATCCATTATGCTCCCCAATCTGCAGATCCGATCCATCCTGCGAGGAACGTCAGCATGCAACCTATACAGGGTGACACCGGACCCGCTCCATGAAAAAATAAGTTGTAAAGCAAGCTGATGATCCTCACAGGATGGATTGGATCTGCGAATTGGGGAGCATAATGGATCGGACACCAATCCATTATGCTCAATCCGCAGATCCGATCCATTCTGTGGGCATTGTTGGCTTGCTTTACAACTTACCTGTTCGTGGAGCGGGTCTGGTGTCACCCCGTGCGGTAGGTGTCACCCGCTGCGGCGCACACCCCCCGCACCTCTAGGGACGCCACTGCCTAACAGCCTGATTGGCCCACAGTGGTGGCGCCTTTTTTCAGAAGAATTACAGATATGTATACTTTTACATAGGTACATTGATCCAGCTTGAAAGATATACAGTCAGGTCCATAAATATTGGGACATGGACACAATTCTAACATTTTTGGCTCTATACACCACCACAATGGATTTACAGCACATCTTGTTCGTTTAATTTCAAATCCATTGTGGTGGTGTATAGAGTCAAAAATGTTAGAATTGTGTCGATGTCCCAATATTTATGGACCTGACTGTATATATATATAAATTAGAAGCTGATTGGCTACCATGCACAGCATTTTGTTTTTATGTGCCTGGAATGTATTCAGCTGATTGAACCTATACCTTCTAGCTCTGACTCAGCAGGGCGTGTGTGGGACCTCTGCAGAGAGACCACTGCTTCAACCCTGCGTTACAACATGCTGGCAAGGAACAGACTTTTCTACTCAGTTTGGATTTTTTTGGAATAGACTTAGCTGGTTTGGGCTTTAATACAAACAATTTGGCTAGTTGGGCATAGCCAGTTCACCCCATCCAACTCAAGACTCTATCCTACTCAACCCTTCTCTTCTGAATAGGCAATCTGTCTTTCTTTTACCTTCACATCCAAACACAAGAAAAACAGGCAGTTTATACCAAGTCCCTGCAGCCTGATGTTCCATTCCGCACAGTTTAAAGTAATCCCTTTCCACAGTGCTGAATGAATGGAACAATTCAGTGACACAGGAGAGGTGGGGACAGAGGGAGGCTACAGCAGATGTGTATGCTGCACAACACATAGGACAATAGAGGGTAATTCATGGTGAGTCACGGCGCACATTTATTCAATATTGTTCGCCGTTACTAAACTCAGTGCCAATGACCCATTTAAAGCAGTAATAAACCCCAAACTAAAATGTAAGATATTGCAGCTTAACAATCATTAGATGTGGCGGCTGCATTCCTTTTCTTTTTTTAATCCTCATGCACACAGGACGTATTTACAGCGGCTGTTTTTGGCATTTTTTCTACAGCCAGTAAACTCCCCAGCATGTTATCCTCTGTGTCCATGCACACATAGACTGTAATCAATGTTTTTTGGCAGGGGCGTTTTTTGGCTGGAAAAAAACCCCCAGAACTAGAGGAGTATTTTAGCTGTAAAAACGTGGTAAATTGTGGCAAACCAGCGTTTTTGGACTTTTTTTGAGCAGAAAAAACATTTGGGGGTAAAAAACCACAAACGCGACTAAACGCTAATGCATAAATGCTAAAAAATGCTGAAAAACTTGCATTTTTAACTTCACTTTACACAGCTAAATCTAGCAGTGTTATTAAAACGCCCAGTGTGCATGGAGCCTTATGCAGGCCACAGACGGGTCGAACATTGGCCAATTTAAAAAAAAAAAAAGAAAAATCGGTCGCTCGATTGGCCGACGTTACCTTCAACGATAAAAAAAAAATCGGCCGATTTTCGACCCGTCCATGGCCGGCATTAACCCCATAACTTCTGTCCTTGCAGGTCATGGCTCAGGCGCACATTTTTTTATCGGTAAAACGATCAGCCGATTTGCCCATCATTGCGAATTTTCCAACATGACCGATAAAAAAAATGTGCAAAAACCCCAAAAAACCAATTAACCCACTAACAGTGCAAAAATCGGCCGATTTTTTTGTTTTCAGCCAAAAGATCGGCCGATTTTCAACCCGTCTATGGTCGGCATTAGGCTTAGTTTTCTTTTTTAGGCAGAGAGGAAAGCCTCTCTGTTTTCAGCTGGTGATCTGGCCAGTGACACACCTCCTGTATTAGAGTGCATCCACTCTGGATGAAGGAGCACAGGGGGCACAGCAGACAGTAGCACTGTCAGTCTGGGGGGAGGGGAGTGTTAGATAGACTAGCAGATTTAGATATACTAACAAATTAAAGCTGAACTCCAGGGCACACTTTATAAGTAGTTACAGCAAACTGTTTTGTTTTTTTTTTGTTCTTTTGGAATAAAGGTTTTACATAAATAAATAAAAGCTGATCATTGTAAGCTTCCCCGTCAGTGGTAAATAGCTTGTCTTAACACCTTAACTGCTACACCTGCAGGACAGCTTGTGCTGTTGAAAAATAACAGGCTTACTGGCTGGATCACAGGTGAAAATAAAAGGAAGAAAGCCTAAAAAAACGAAAACTAATGAAGCCATCACATCTATGAATTGGTAAATTACGATTTATTAAACATTTGCTTTAGGGTTTAAATAGGCCTTCTGCATGTCACGTACCATGTGCCCCCAGCTGCCGGTACAATAACAGAGGCCCTCACCACTAACCAGTTGTTTGAAATAAACCGCTAAGCGACTCCAAGGATAATGCCGCTTTGAGCTTCGGGGGTTTTTTTTCCCGACGTGACATAGTTGGCCTGTGAAAGCTATTTGCTGTTAATGGGTTTCCAAGGCTGTGTTTCATCACGCTGGTAAAAACCGCACGGCTCCCAAGGTGGTAAATCCTTGGAAGTACTTAGTGGCCGTTGGGGGTTTGCATGGGGGGGGCCTTAAAAGCCAGAAACAGGTGTAAGGGAGGCATCTGCATAGGTTTTTGCATTTCCAAACATACAAAAGAAATCAGCTTGATGTAAATAACGTACTCAATAGGGTTGCTACACTAACAGCCAATAGGGGCTGTTCACTTTGCAAGGGAACTTACCCTTAGCTTGGTGAATGAGCTGACTTCCATCATCCAATATTAGGCAAGCAAAAATGTCATTCTTTTTAACTTTCCTTGCATTGGTATTCGTTGCAAAGTGAATTTTCCCCACATTCATTAGGCTAAGGGAAAATGCCTCTACAAAGTGAAAATTCTCTTGCCAAGTGACCAACCTATTTCCCTTTACTAAATTAACCGCAATGTGTTTATTGTATTCAACACCTGGTTAAGTTTAGCTTGTAATTACAGATGTACCGGGTTACAGCCATATATGATCATTGCCGTTCTGTATCTGCCATCCCTCTCTGCCAATCCCTCCACTGGCTTCCCATTGCCCAACGGATAAAATTCAGAACATTAACAATAACATATAAAGCCATTTATAACTCTGCCCCAAATTACATCACCGATCTTGTCTCCAAATATAACCCAAACCATACTCTCCGCTCATCGCAAGACCTCCTACTCTTTAGCTCCCTTGTCCCCTCCTCACATACTCATCTCCAGGACTTCTCCAGAGCTTCCCCCATCCTCTGGAACTCTCTACCCCAATTTATCAGACTATCTCCTACTCTGCTCACTTTTAGGCGATCTCTGAAAACCTATCTCTTCAGGGAAGCCTATCCTGCCCTCAGCTAATAATGGGATCTTCTACTCCTCCTACCAGTCCATCCCCCACAGTTACTACCCTTTGTACCACTAGCCCCTCCCTCTTAGATTGTAAGCTCCAAGGAGCAGGGCCCTCCTATCCCTCTTGTATTGAACTGTATTGTTGCTGTATTATCTCCCGTTATATTGTAAAGCGCTGAGCAAACTGTTGGCGCTATATAATTCCTTTATAATAATAATTACATGTGCTGGCTCTGCTTCCTGTTTTGTAGAGCAATGGTTGTGCTTTACTGCTCCTTCTCACAATACAAGTCTATGGTATTGACTTACTAATGGATTGCGCACCCCGAGTCAGTCGCCTTACTGCAAAGTACGCCTTTCCTGGTAGGCTGATATGTTATCTCAACAGTTTTAATCAAAGAGACATTGATTGCACTGAATCACTGAGGGCTCCCTCTAATGGCTGATCTACAACTATCCATATATAATTACAATGGCAAAAATTAAAGAGCAAGCCAGTTAAAAAATAGGAAAGTCATATAAAGCTCTTAGATTGTAAGCTCCAAGGATCAGGGCCCTCCTATCCCTCTTGTATTGAACTGTATTGTTGCTGTATTGTCTCCCGTTATATTGTAAAGTGCTGAGCAAATTGTTGGCGCTATATAAATCCTGTATAATAATAATAATAAAGATGTAAACCATAACTGAATGACATTTCGTTTCCACCATGTATCATAGACAATTGCCCTTTTTTTAATACTGTTTTCACTATTTTTCATCCTTTGTTACATTTCAACACCACTTATCTCCTCCAGGTTCTTTGCAGCCACATCATGTCTGCATGAATGCACACCAACTGCATGTAATTTCCCAGGAAGGGTTTTCTGACAACAGCGAAGGAATATATAAGATTGTAAAGCTTCACCACATGCGAGTTGGTGTCCGTTGTGTCGAGGTGTTAACCACTTGCCCTCCCGAGGATTTACCCCCCTTCCCTACCAGGCCATTTTTTGCGATACAGCGCTGCATTAATTTAGCTTACAATTGCGCGGTCATGCAATGCTGCACCCAAATTAAATGTATGTCCTTTTTCCCCACAAATTGAGCTTTCTTTCTGTATTATTTGATTGCCTGTGTTTTTTTTAAATTTTTTGCACTATAAACAAGAAAAGACTGACAATTTTGAGAAAAAAAAACTATATTTTTTACTTTTTTGCTATTAAACATGTCAAGTAAAAAAAATGTTAAAGATCAAATTTCGTCATAAATTTAGGCCAAAATTTATTCTGCTACATGTCTTTGCTAAAAACAAATCCCAATACGTGTAAATTAATTGGTTTACCTTAAAGTTATAGCGTTTACAAATGGCAGAATATATATTGGATTTTTTTCTTTTTTCTACTAGTAATGGCAGCGATCAGCAATTTATAGCGGGACTGTGGTGGGCATTCTGACACTGGGGGAACTGACTTGGTGTCACTGACATCCCCAGTGACACCAATACAGCGATCAGTGCTAATAAAAAGCACTGACACTGTATTAATGACACTGGGCAGGAAAAAGTTAACTTGTGGGGCAATCAAAGGGTTAACTGTGTGCTGTTTTGCTGTGTGCTGTGTCTGTGCTTTACACTGTAAGCACACTGCTTTGTATGCTCAGAAGCATACAAAGCAGTGTGAAGGAGCTAACAGGGAGAGATCTGCGTTGTTTATACACAGTCTCTCCCCTGTCA